CACCAAACAGGAGCACAACAAACACTGCAACTATTATTATTCCAAACTAAGGGCAGAAAAATACAACAAAAAAGTCCTCATGTCAATGAAAGATGGTCTGATAAGGTTCCTACCACAAACACAAAGCCCGTTTTATGTAGATCAGATTTGCAGCTAATTTATATTTCATGCTGTTTAACAGGTGACATCTAATGAGAATTATTCACTTCTCTCTCTTTTTACTGTACCTTATCAGGGGCTGCTAATAACAAGCCTTCCTGTTTTGCATGCAAGTTGCATCTTTTCATGAAATTTTCAGCAGCCTATGACTTACTAAATAAAGCTGTCACTCAATCCTCATTTCCCCTCTGAGTGCAAGGAATCAAAATGGACACTGAATTAATACTCAGTATTGTCTTTGTTTCACGAGGCCTCCACAAGAGCTTTGTTCTGTCACCTTTAATGCACTCTCCTGGAAGGACTTGCAATCTGATTTCCTATCAGATGCACAAAGAGCTGAATATTACAAAGCTGATGCTGGGCTCAATCTAATTTATGTCTTTGAAATCTCTTGCAGGTGTGGGAAGCAGTTAGTTGGGAGTCTTTAATAGAGATTTCCACATGCTCTTTTTTCCCCCCTCCTGTAGAGGAACTTGAATTAGCACACATTTATCTTATTTCTTGAAATTAAAACATAATAAGTGAAGAAGAGATTACGCTGCATTCATTTAGTACTGGCGCTATTAGGGCTCCCTTCTCCCAGTAGTCAAATACGGGAAGCAAAAGGCAAACAGTTCAATCATGAGCACATTTACTCAGAAGGAAAGTCTCACTAGGTTTAATGGAACTTACTACGTGTTAAGTGGGTGGATTGTTTTCAGTCACATTGACTTAACGATGTACAGACCTCCCCACACTTACGTGGAATTGACTTGTATGCACGCAGCGCTGGGAAATAAATAATTCAACTCAAAGTCGGAAATGGCGGGAGAGAGCTGGAGAGTCCTCATGGCTCATGAGCAGACCCTCCATGGAGTCCAAAGAGTACGTCAATGAGGGCAGAGGAAGCCCCAAAGTGACCAGAGATGCAGTGGGGCTTTGTTTACGCTGCTCAGCCTCCCCGCCTAACAGCTGATGTGCAGGGAAGCACAGCAGCAATAGCCAATTCCCCACATGTCCTCCAGCCTCCTGCCAGCTCCAGAGTTTCAGTTCTAGCTGTGGATATTTTTGGATACAGTATTTTTGGTGTGGATTGAAGAGAGAGCAGCGTAGAAGACGTTGAAAGGGTGCTTGGAGGATGCACCCCACTTTACACGATTCTACTTATGCACAAGGGCCCCACAACGTTGCCCCCTTAAGTGGGGAGGGGTCGCCTGTGCGGTCCTTAACAGTCCAGCATCTAGAACCGTTAGTCTTACCTTGGCCTAGGAAAATACTGTGCTAAGGAGCTTAACAGAACCTCGCTAATAAACAAACCGTCGTCACCCAGATCTGCGAGTCCTGTTCAGGTTCTCACTCGGCTGGGAGTGTCAGCTTTGCTCCCAGTATCTCTTCACTCATTTGACCTGACTGTACCAGCTTTCCCACGCTGGGCAAGAAGGTCTGAAGGGGGTTTCTATGATTATTTGTCTGAACAGCCTCCTTGTAATTGGGTTCCCAATCATGAGGGGTCTTCAAAGCACGTTCAGTTAAATATGCTCAATGTGGGAAGGGCAGTGCTGGGTATGAGGCTGGTCTATGAGGTTGCTGAACTGTTTTCATTCTATGTGTGGTGGCTCCAACATGCACACCTACCTCTCCTTTCTGTAGGGCTGTCTCTGTGTCGTTAAAGAGCTGCATTCAAGGTTCCTTCTTCCACTGAACTGAATTCGGAATTCTTTTTGTGCAGTAACTCCATCTGAACATGAGAACATAAATGGAACCATGGATCAGAATACTGATTCACATGCTGAATGGCCAGAAGGATGCTCTCAGTCAGGCACACAACGTCTAGTGCGATTTGTGCACAACTGTGAAACAAAACTGGAAAATACTATATAAGCCTCATTTGGAAAATAAATTGATATGCAAATCAGAGTAACCTGTCAGCTTTTTTTAGAGCTATTATTTTTGAAGAACAAAATTATAAATTTACAACTTGCATTGTCTGGAATATTGCTAATACTGGACGCTTTTTAGAAATGTTTTCCTTTGTTAAATCAGTAAAGTGAGATGGTAATAACAATTACTTCAAAATAACTTCAACAGTTCCATCTTATGCATGCCTGCCCAGAAGTAAACCCCAGTGACAGTACAGGACTACAGGCTAATATTGGCTTTCATTATAAACCACACAGAGTTTACTTCTCTTCTAATGCCAAAGAATGGTTGACAGCATCAAAGGGCAGACCCTCCAAGGGTCCCTATATACCAGGGATGTCCGTGATTTAGAGAAGCTGTCCCAGTTTTTGTTTTGATCCTGGAATATCCCGCTTTTTCTTAGGATGTCCCTATTTCCATTGGAGAAATGATGGAGGGTATGGAGTTATCCAACCCCCAAGCCATCTGAAGACAATCCTGTATATGGAAGGGTTTTTTTAATGTTTAATGTTTTATTATGGTTTTTATGTCTGTTGGAAGCTGCCCAGAGTGCTAGGGCAACCCAATAAGATGTGTGGGATATAAATAGTAAAATTATCATCATGGAATGGGACGTCCCTACTTTCATCGGATAGATGTTGGACTTCCGGGGTGGCGCCATCGGCAATGGCGGACTCCCTCTGATCTGGAGGGACTAGCTCCGCGCGAAACGGGTCTTTTCTGCTACGGCGAAGCGGGGACCCTTTTAAAAATCACAGGCGGATGAAGCCTGTGACCATGGGACTCGGCAGGCACCCTTAGCGCCCCCAACCCGCAAAGGAACCCACTAACGGGCTCCGAGCGAAGAGGGGAAGTGGCGCGGTGCTGAGAGTCAACTGCTTTTTCCGTGGAGCGAAGCCGCATAGCCGTTGCCGGAGAGCGCTGCCTTTTTCCTGGGACAATTTGGCTTCTAAAATAATCACCCGTGAGTACTTAAATTTCGGACAATTGGACTTTAAATAAGGACTTGCGAGCAGAAAGGAAAATTGGACTTAAAAGTTTACCTCAATTTGGCACTGAAACAGGAAGGTCTGAACAGGAAGTCAGCCTTCCGCTTCTTTGTAGACAGAATAAAGCAAAGACAGCACAAACTAGAGCTCAGAAAATCGCTTCTAAAAGATTAACTTTCATCATTTAAAATTGTTGAACCCCCCTTCGGAAGCAGGAGAAGAAGGGGGATTTTTTCCGGACTGTTTAAACCTGCAGAAGTGAGTTTAAAGTAAAGTAACTTTCCACTGTCCTGATCCTGGAGCGGGGTGTCAGGACTGACGTTTGAAGCTCATTGACCAGAGACAAACGATTTTGACAGATAGCTGAAAGAAGAGAAACATAGTGATTCCACTGTTCCCTTTCGCATTTTAAAGGAATAAATATTGACAAAATATCTCAAAAAGGAGACTTTGTTGCTAGATTCGTCCTTAAAAGAAAGAACAAATAGAAGTTTTCCCCCTAGAGGGATACTGTGAAACTGTAACTGTAACTAACTCCAGGGAGCTTGCAGCTGTTACAGATTACAATCGTGGGAAATAGATTTGTGACCTTGTAGGACAATGTATTCAGAAGCTCTGTTGTGTGCTCTCTGTAAAACAAATGCCCTACTGGAACAGTTAAATGAGAATACGGATTTGATTACTAATGCGGTCAGAATTTTTGAACAGGCGGTGGGAAACTATGTGGAGCCCACCCAGGAATTAAACCAGGAGTGTGCCCTGACAGAACAGATGAGAGAAGAGGATGTTGCTGAATCTTGGGCGCCAGAGATGGAGGGAGCTGTGGCCCTGCAGGAACATGAGCTTTTGGATTTGACAAATGAACTTGGAAAAAGCCAGATTTGGAAAGATAAGGTTTGGACTGGTTTGGAAATGGGGGGTTGGATAGACCCCCCTATGCAGGGATGTTTGGACTTTCCAAGTCTGGCAATGGGCCGTGAGATGTTTGGGGCTGTGGGGGCTCTTAATCTTGGAGAGATTCTGAAACATGTTTTTAAATACCACATGGAGTTTAGTCTGGACTTTGGAAAAGGGGCTGATTTGTTGAAAAGGGTCAAAAACATTACCAAGCTGGAGTTCCCATGTGTGAAAGGAGAATATGAAGAAGAGCTGCGGAAGGGACATGGAAGAGACTTAAGGGCCTCAGATATAAGGTTACCAGGTTAATGCGCTAGATCAATGGGATAAAGAGGACTGACAAAACCCAGGACCAGGAGGAAGGGACGCTGGATGAAGATTGGATTGTTTTTATTTATTTCTTTTTATTATTAGGATTGTTTTATAAAATTGATGAATGTTAGAAAAATGTTGGAACAAAATTACTTGGCTCTAGCAAAAATGTCTAAAGAATTAGGTAAGAATATTACGGCTATGAGAAGTTGGTAAAAATAAGAGTTAAGTTTTAAGTTTTAAGGTTTTCTATAAGATAAGATGAAAATAGATTAAGGTAATGTAATGACAGAATATTATGAAATATGGAAAGGATTTGCTGCGATAATTAATAACTAGGATACAAAAAAAGGGAGGAGGAGGAGGTCAAAGAAAGAAGGTAATGAAAGTTGAGGATTTGAGAATGATGGATTTGTTTTTATCTGTTTGTGGTGTATTTTTGTTTTTTCTGAATTTACATTGTTTGATGTGGTTTGTTTTCTCTTTGTTTTCTTTTTTTTCTCTTTTTCTGCTGTGTTTTTTTCTGTAACTCTAAAAAATTTTCAATAAATACCATTAAAAAAAAAAAAGAGATTGTGAAAGGGCTGTTGAGTGTTGCCCTCACAGGGTAGCTTTCAGTGAAGTATAATACTGAGTCTTAATAGATAATGCCAAGAGTACTCCTAACTTGTGTTTATGCCAAAGGGAGGAGATACCCCAGATCTATGGAGCAACCATCAGATCTATCACTCTATTTCGCTGTAGCCACGACAGGAGGTGCAGCAGAGCAGCTTTTTCCTCCCGCTGACTGCTAGAGTTGCACCATTTCTGTTTGCATGTCTGAGAAATGGAGAGAGGCCTTAGATGTGCTGCATCCATGCCCACCTTATTTCTCTCCTGTTTTGCAGGCAGAATATCTAAGGCAATGGAACGTTCTACTGGCACACTGGGAAAATGCCCACAATGTAACGAGCATTCTGCCATCAGCCCTAACACCACCTCCTAAAGCACCCTCAGCTGTAAGGTTGAGATTGCTGTGTGTTTGTGTGTGTGTCTTCTATAGTGCTGTACTTCCAAAGAAAGAAATTGAAGATGTTCACAAATTCACATATAGAGGGAAAATCCAAGCTGTCTTTCAGACCCATCTGAAAACTAAATTGGCAAGCTTTCTCCCTGACACAGGCCATGTTTAAGCGGCATGCAGCCAGAGACTGCATTTAACAATATAAAAATAATTCTCCATAGCTTACTGAGGTAGCACACACAAATATATATGAGTAATGCCCCAACGTTGCTAGTGAACAAGGCACTTAATAAAAGCCAAACAACTGTCACACATAGGTTAGAAGGTCATTTCTCACACATAAGATAAACTAGAAATCCATCGAAAGGATGGAATCACAGAGAGTGTTGTGAAGTTTACTGGAAAATAAAAAATGAGTTTCACATGTTCTTTCATTTCCCAAGGGCACTTTGCTAAATATGTCCATATATTGGCATGCATAGTTCAGAGGGGGTGAAAAAGTATTCTTGTTTTTTCTTAAGAAAAAGAAGATGAATATGAGTATCTTGGGCACATGAAATATGCACCAGTTTCAGTCTTGTTGACTTGACCTTATAGTTTCAATTAAAATGCAGCAAGTGAGAGAAAGGAGGGATATTGGCACCATTTGGCAAATACAGAGCACCATTTTTGCTTCTGCAGCATTACCCACATACATCCCATGTTTGTTGATGTACAGTAAAAGTCAGTGGAAATGCGTGAAACAGAAATGCCATCTGATTACAGTGGTGCCTCGCAAGACAAAATTAATTCGTTCCGCGAGTTTTTTCGTCTTGCGGTTTTTTTCGTCTTGCGAAGCACGGTGTTGGAAAAGTTTTGGAAAAGCTTCAAAAATCACCAAAGTCCTCAAAAACCTCAAAAAAGGCTACCACACCGCGTTCTATGAGTTGCTCCTCGAAGTCAAGTCGCAACTGTATTAACGGTTTTAAGAAAAAGGAAACAAACTTGCAAGACGTTTCCGTCTTGCGAAGCAAGCCCATAGGGAAAATCGTCTTGCGAAGCAACTCAAAAAACCAAAAACCCTTTCGTTTTGCAAGTTTTCCGTCTTGCGAGGCATTCGTCTTGCGAGGTACCACTGTATATATATATGTATATGACTTAAATACATATTGTTGCACGACACTCCATTCTCCAAGTGGTGCAAGATTTTAGGGGTTCCAAGTGCACTTTACCCAGGGTTAGTGTTCCTTTTGGAAATGAGGTACAGTGAAGACCGTGGTATGTAAGAGTTATGGTCTATTTACACATACATAAAGCCTCAGCTCGCAAGGGAGGAGTTCGTGGCATTAACACTCCAAGAGGGTCTTGCTTCTCTCACAGTCAAGCTTTATCTGTTGAGGGAGGGGCCATGTTCATTTTACCTATCACACCAAGTTCCTTTCACCCTTTGTTGTCTTAATGGCTCATCACCCAGGCTATCACCTCAATACAAGAGGCTAGCCTGGCTCAATTGGGTTTTGACACTTGCTGATTCTAGGGGATTAGAAGTGTCTAGTACACAGCTTGGTACACACGGGTCTGGCAGCCAGTTTTAACACCAAAAGCCTTGATTAAATTCTAACACTTACTGGTTCCAGGAATTTAGAAATGTCTAGCACTCACAAACTCCTAACACTAATAAAATGCATTCCCCTCATCCTAAATTCCCCCCTGAAATTTAATATCTAATTGATGGGTTCTGAAAAGTGTACTCTGATTTTAGAATGATTTACGAGGGAGGAAATCCCATCTGTCATAATTGTAGTTCTTCCCCGCCTCTTCACAGTGAGCGTTTTTGTGCGTAGTATTAGAAAAGAGACAGAACATATCTTTCCTGATGCCTCCCTGCTCGGTGAACCAGTCTGGCCTATCTGTTTCAGTGTCCCAGTGTTTTTCTCCTTAAGTTCAGAGGCTTGATGTTGTCTGGTGGAAGGTCCTATCTCAGGCTAAAAAGTGAAGCAGGTGTTAAAGCAAGAGTCAGAAACAATAGAAGCAGCAGTCAAAATGGGAGTAGGGCAACTTTCTGGAGATATGAATTAGCTTAAACCAACCCATAAAGACTACCTCTCAAAGTAATGGCATCATACCAATGGAATGGGTGATTTTGCCTCTACTACCCACAATACTGACATCAATGTACAGTCTACCCTTGTTTGTCAACTTGAGTTCCAGCCAAAGGTGAAAAAGAAAGCATTTGGCCATTTAAGGGAGTTGTTTCAGAAGAAGTCAGCTGACATATAGTAGCACAAACTACTTTGGTTTGGGTTGGATGTTTCATTTTGGGAGCTTTGATTAAGTTGGCCTCTGCATTCTCCTCATAAGGGCATCTAAACAGGCTGCACAAAAAAGGGAAGACATTGGCTGAGCATCCTCAGCTTGAGACCATTAGCTCAGACCTGGTACTGCAGAGTTTTACCTAGGCCTGAAGGCCAAGAGAAAGCAAGGGGATGTAAGGTGACTGCAGGCACATATCATCATTCGAAGCAGCCAAAGATAGGCATTCATAGGGTTGCCACATTTAAAAAAGTAAAATTCCTGATACCTGCAAAGTTGTTGAGCTTTTTTAAAGAAACCCACCAATTTTTTAAAAGAGAAATCCATTTTTACACCCCAAAACCAAAACATGTCAGGAATTTTCCTGATGTATGTCAAGCCTAAGCATTCACATCAACTTCTATGATTTTTCAGACTGGCTCCAGCTGTTAATGGCTAAGAGCTCATCCCATTGATGAGTTTTGGTCCAATCTAGGCCACCTCAGCAGGGTATGTATTATGTTTTTTGTATATCTGCACATTGAAATATCAGGATAAGAACTGCTTAACTCCTTAGGAAAAAAAGTAAGGTCTCTTCAGCTGCAAAGTGCAAGATGCTGTTCAGTTGGGTTCAAGTCTTTCAGAGATCTAACTTTGCTAGCAAAATATGAGGCAATCCATTTCACGTCTGAGCTGCAAGTGCTTTTTTCACATAAGGGAGCCAGCTTGAGTTTCACTCTAGAGGGTGACAAAATTTTAATAAGCTGCCCTGGAACTTGGGAGTGTGGTAATAAGGGACATTTGTTATATTCTGTGGAGATGTCATGACTTGGCAAAAAGGGACATCCCTGTAGAATGAAGGACGGCTGGGAACCTTAAATTCCACAGCATATTTGGTCCTACTAAAATATAATGACTTTCAGCACCTTTAAGATCTGTGGCCTACATTTTTAAAGACCCCTTTGCCTGTTTCCCCAGAAAGTCAGCCATAAAACACAGGTGAGGTTTACCATGTTATATTTTCTGATCCTCAGAGAAAACAACCTTTCCTTTGCACATCTGTCTTTTGCTTACAGCTGTATAAACAAGGAGTCTGAAAGATGCAAATTTCACAGCTTTTGTTCCCTCGTACCACATACCTTTGAGATAATTGGCTATTTCTTTCATATATGCCAGCCACATTTCAATGCCTTATTGGAATCTACTTGTTTGAAATAATTACAAATCACCCCCCCTTTAGCTAGAAAAAAGGCTCTGTGTGTATGTGTTCCCTGTCATGATCTCCCTCTCTTCTTCTTTTGTGCAAATTAGGGCTTCATACTGATAAGTTGCTTTATGAAGGGTCTGTATGACATGTAATTTAGGTATGTGGTAGAAAGAGGCACTTGTTTCCTCCACCACACAAAAGGATTGATGAGCCAGTAAGTGTCTGAAGTAGGCCTTCAGTGGTATCCTCAGCACACTTTTATCTCCCTCCCAATCTTTCTATCCCAAGGGATTTTGAAGCATAACGAATAACCTGACACCGTTCCTTCTCTCTTTTCTTTTGCTAAGATTATGGGTAAGACTGAATACAATCTCACAAAATGACACTATGGGCATACTGGGGTGTATTACTTCTGTTTTAATCTAGTCTAGAGAATTAATACCCCCCCCCAAAAAAATCCATGTTAAAAATTGATATTCCGCTTGCCATTTCCCTCCATTCAATTTGCAAACGGCGAATGTGTAATTACAAATTTGTCCCTTGTGAAAATGGTTGAGGAGGCTTCAGAAAAGCTTCTCTTTCACCTGCGCCCTCATTGCCAACTTTCCTCCCTCACCCTATTTGTGGGCTTAAGGCTGCCTTCTCCTTATAGTGGTTATGTAGAGAAGCACCAGCTTCATGTTTGAACAGTCTCTCATTTTTACATCTCCTCATGAGGTGATTTTAAAATGTGGTGCTACACCTCAGCTCAGTAAAATAAGGCTGCACTTCTACTTAGAATTCTATCCTATTGAACTCATTGGGGATACAGTGGTACCTCGGGTTACAAACACTTCAGGTTACAGACTCCGCTAACCCAGAAATAGTACCTCGGGTAAAGAACTTTGCTTCAGGATGAGAACCGAAATCGCACTGCAGCGGCAGCAGGAGGCCCCATTAGCTAAAGTGGTACCTCAGGATAAGAACAGTTTCAGGTTAAGAATGGACCTCCGGAACGAATTAAGTTCTTAACCAGGGGTACCATTGTACTTACAAGCAGATGGGTATGCAGGGGCAGACTTTGGTCTTTAAAATTTCAGCAGCACCCTGTTCAAGGCCAAAATACGAACCCACCTCTCGCCCGCCGTTCTGCTTAATTCACTATGTCATAGTTGCGACACCACGCTGTGCTCCCTACACTCAGCACCCAGTGCAGCGGAACCAATCATACTGTCCTAAATCTGCCTCTGGTGTATGGCTTTGTTTTATAAAAGCTGGGTGGTCATTAAGATTGTGGTTATTCTCCCAGTATTTACCATACTAGCTGCTTATTTAAATGGGGAAGTCAGAGGGAAATGAAATACAGAAATTCAGCATTCCGTTTTCCTTTAAATTAACCTCCCAGTTTACAATTCCCACTCCCAGTCGCAACTCGAGATAGCACTTCATGCTTTTAATTAAGCAGACTGTGGTCCATGAAAGCTTATGCTGTAGTATATTTGTGAGTGTACCAATAATCCTTTGGCATCTGACACTTTGATTAAACTTCTGAGGATTGCTCCTAAAGACAATTACAGTCAGCCAATACAGCATTTTCTAAGCAACAAACTTATTTTAACATTTATTATCCTTCTAGTCATTGCTTTGAGATGGGAGAGATGGCAGGTCAGCCCAGGCAGGTAAGCATTTTTTTGAATTATCTAATTAACCTTACTATATGTGTTCCTTTCCCATTGTGGGAATATTGCTTTTTCTCTGGGTTCCCTCAGGAGCTGGGAATTTTAGATACCAACCTGTGTGTTTCTAAACTGCAAATGTCATTCAAAGTCACATACATATCCCTTGTGTATGGGTGCAGAAAGGATAATTTAAAAGAATATTAAGCTTATAAAATTTCATGGCGGTGGAAAGCAAATTAAAAAATGAAAATAATGGCTACTTCTACGACCTTCTTTATCCAGTCACTCTGTAGTTGATGTGACACTGATATTCAATATATGGCCAATATAAATAGTAAATTGAAAGTGTATCAGAGAGAAAATTGTAATCATATTTATGAAGTATATCTATGCAAAAATGCAGCAAAGGAAAACACGCTTCTAAGGATTTGAAAAGAGAAGCGTTTTGGAAGTTACCTTCATAGTTCATATAGTCAGATGAGATAAATAGAATTCTATAAGCTTATTTATTATTCTTGGCTTTTCATATGAAAGCATTCAAAGATATTGTGTGATCCATTAGGCTTAGGTTGCTATTGTAATAAAAT